ACCCTAGTAACCACATAGTAACCATTTAAAACAACAATGCCAAAACATTGTGGTGAGATTGTGTTTTTTAATATGATTGCACCAGTCACATTTAAAATGTCAAATATCAGTATTTAACCCTTGTGCTGAAAATCCTTTGCTTAATTTAATGTTCCTGGTCAAAAATGACTAGCCTTTTAAAAATTGCTTATAAATATCTTATTATGCTCTATTATCACCAAATCGTGGATTCAGTCAGGTTTTCTGTTTCTTTTTGGAACTGATTGATCATGGCCTCACTGATCTGAGCTTATGCTCCTCAGTTTTTGAGTGAACATTGCCAAAATTATCCACAAATAATGCTTTGAGCATACGCTTAAATCAATGAGACAGATGATTAATCAGTTGCAAAAAGAAATACAAAACCTGTGCTAATCGTAAGAAAACTTTTTTCTTTTATGCATTATTGTATTTCAGACTTATAATCTCTTTGTTGCGTTGATTTCTTGTGATTTCTTGAGACATACATGATTTATTTGATTAAATGAAATATGTTGTCAGATACCAGAAAAGAACATTTATTTAATACCTGCTCAGATCCTTTAAACCTCATCAAACCACGCATGCATTTTTAAAATGGAATTGTTGAGAAAACATAGAAAATGGAAATTTATGCATTAAAATTTTTTAGGTTCTCTCACCTGTTGTACTGTCCTAAGTAACACTACTTCATCAAGGCAACTGATTTCTACAAATTACTAATACATAAATTGATCCGTAATTTTGGCCATTCAGGACTCTTAACATGTGAAGTGAACTATGCTATCTTATCAAATCTCAGGAACGGTGACAACAAAATTGATGAGCTCTTAAAATCAAAAGGCAACAAATAACTAACAATAATTACAAAACAGCATAAGCTTAAACAAAATTCAGTAAACAGCAAAAACAACAGTAATGCTATAACAGTAACTGTACACTCTAAAAAATGTTGGGTTAAATACAACCCAGTGCTGGGTAAAATAGGGACAAACCCAGCAATTGGGTTCTTTTGACCCAGCGGTTGGGTTAAATGTTTAACCCAACCTCCTGGGTAGTAACCCAACCGCTGGGTCAAAACAACCCAATTGCTGGGGTTGTCCCTATTTTACCCAGCACTGGGTTGTATTTAACCCAGCATTTTTTAGAGTGTATCATTTATTCATGTTGCAATGCATCATGTTCAGTTTAAAAACACCTTAGATAACTGTGTTTGACTAGTTTGAAGAACATTTGGGCGAATTCTGTTGATCATGTGTTTTGTGTAGTTTCATAGTTCATAGCTGCTTTTTTCACAGTGTTGTCTCCTCCTCCAGCATGGCTCTCTCACACAGCAGAGGATATTACTCATTAGCAGAGTTAATTGATTGTTTACTCATGAAAGTCGTTGAGTGCTGTAGTGTATCCCAGAGGCCCAGCAGACACGGGTCTGACTGTATCTTTAGGGCTGCTCCATTAGGCCTGAATGCTGCGGGTGACGTGTGGGACCCTGGGGAAGTGTTACTGGCAGCACTGATTTACTCTGGCCATCTGACGCCAAGATCCACCCACATGTACAGTAGCTTTCCCTTCAGCTGACCGGAACACTGTGACTAATACTGTCATATTTGGACACACAGTACTATTAGACTTGATTTAGCAGTAATTCAACATGCTTATGAACAAAAGGAGAATATGCATAAAAATTGCTTTAATAATATCAAAAACTACTGGCAGATGATGCAGTATGTTTATTGCACAGTATGTTTAATCAATGGGTTGAAATAAATGGGAATCGAATTTCATCAAAATGTTTAGTATTCCGCCCCAAATTAAATTTTACTGAAAGCATGTTTTGAGATATCAACCTCAAATTTGGAGCACAACTTGTTTAGATTTATTTAGGCTTTGATTTTCATGCAGTTAAGATAAGATAAGATGAACTTTATTGTCCTGAAGGCAATTTGTTATAGGGTAAAACACGTTTTGAAAAAAAAAAAAAAAAAATTTATATATATAATTAAAAATAATACTTTTGTGCATTTTTATGCATTTTTCATAAGTATAAACTTTTTTTTGCTTCACTTTAACTTTTTACTTCCCTAAAAACACAAAATATGAAATAAAACCATTTTTGAACTAAAACACAGTACATTCATTTAATTGAAATAAATACAATTCTAATTCCCGTTCGACTTCCACGTAAGCAGCACCAGAGGGTTAAAGATTTCACCCATAAAAATTAATTTTGTTGGTATAAATCAATATATTTAGTTGATTCAATGTTGGTAAATGATATTTTTGGCTTGAATAAAACTAGTTAATTTAGATTTTTACCATTTTTAGGTTACTTTCGTCTTCAGTGTGTGACACACCAAACAACATATTATTATGCAAGAATGCCATCAGCTAAAACCTATCAAACTTGACTACATTACATAAAAGTGTAATCAGTGCCATAGACTGTCAATATAAGGGCATTTCTGTCAGTACACGTTTTGTTTATTCTTCTTGTGTATGATTTCAGTTTAACTGGAAATATCTTTTTTACAAATTAGATATCACTTGGTAAATATCTGTCTAGATGTACTGTTCAAGCTAAGCGGTATGTTCCACATTTCAAAGAAAATATCAGCTCACTTGAGCAATTACATATATTTAGCTATGCAGAAATCAAATTTTTATGTCACAAATCGGAAATGTATTTCTAAATATCTATTTTAAATGCTAATGTTCTTATAAAACTGAAGCAAAAACACAAAGCGTGTAAATGAATTAATGGGTGAATGATGCAACAGGCCACACACACAAACAACTAGAGGAAATTCACTTTACACATTATATGCTGGGAAAATAAACCCTCCTTACATAAAAGCACCTGTGTGAAGTGCTGGAGTTAATGTGAGTGTGGGAAGAGTAATCTCTCAGTACGGTTCACACAGCGGGCATCTGCATGTGTAATCTGTGCTTTGTTATGTCTCGATCCCACACCTGTCACTGCAGCATCTGAGGTGAGAGGAAAAGAGAAAACCCGCCTTAAAACTCCTGTCTGTCTGCTTAATCAGTGTGAACAAACGTTTTACTGGCAAATTCACCGGAGCTGCTGGTGGAAAGTGTTCTGTAAACTGACCAGAGCTCAGATCTGCTCAGATTAGCTTTGCTTTTACATTTCATTGTCTCGTTGGGCTGAGTCCCACGGCGCCTCACGTTACATGGATCACAATTAAAGCTATACCAAATGACAGAAGCCCAGTCAATCTTATTTAGAAGTTTGAGAGTTTCCAGAATGGTGAAAAGAAAGAGTCGGAACAGAGTTGATTCAGACGGTTGTAACCTTGACCAGACTGGAGGAGAAACTCCGTTTAATACAATTTAAAAAAGTCTGGCATTAAGGTTTGCAAAACAATTATCAACAACGCGAAATGTTCTTATGAGAAGTTCCCACTTGCAAGTTTACAAATCATAGAATGAAATGTATTAGCCAACTTATTTTTCTTTTTTTCCACTTCTAAATATAGGAAGCGTGCTAATGCCACAAAATGAAGAACAAAATATGCTGTAACTTATGTGTAACTGATGCTTTACCTACATTTACATTTTTTTTCCCCATTGGCTGCCACAGAGAATGAAGCAGAAGGTGCACAGTGCACACACTGAGCAAGCACTTCTATCCAATTCAGTGCCTCGCACTACGAAGAAAACTGGCCAACCAATAAGAGTCGCTATATGGTCATGTGCCAGAGCCGTTGCTGTTGTTACATAAAACCACGACTTAGTGGCGCACATAAACAGACAATTTTGCTAAGCGACCTGGCACTCTTGCCTCTGTATTCTTGTATTTGGTATTGTTTGATAAGCACTATAGCAAATACAAAAATCTTAACTACTTTTTGAAAGGTGTGAAATATATAGGCTACCATTACTTTCTTCTCCGCTTGTGCCAGAAACGGAAAGTTGCATAGCGCCTTGTGTAGGCCTACTACCGGTATTCTTTTCTTTGAACTCAACCTACTGTTAGTGCACTCGCATTTTCATGTAAACCGTCTGCCGTTTTTACGCATTGCTTTAAATAGACAAATGACATGCATAATCGGACCGAATTTTCAATAACGGCGTAAAAAAATAATTACTTATTTGAAGCACCATACTTATTTTTTACACCATATTTTGTTTAATCATTATGTTATATTTAACCAGTTCGATACTTTTGGAGGGCTCTTAACAGCTGCAAAGATCACTGGGTCAAATGGAATTTACGGTTCAGGTAAAAACTGAAAAGAGAATTCAGCGTACATCCAGGAAGTCCTGTGCCAGCCAAGTAACCGCCATTGAGATGAACAGCTTCTATCAGGTAAATTAAAACTGATTCCGACATGAAGGCATAACTGATTTGGACTTTCTAATTACAAATCCTTAAAGCATGCATGCATACATACATACATTCATAAACAAACAAACAAACAGTTTTTGGGGGTGCGTCATTATACCGTTGTGTCGAATAAAATACAACCTGGCACAGCATTTCATCTGTGTAATTGAATTAAATTGTGTAATAGTAACAAACCAAACCCTGACATGCTAGATTGAATATTTCTGTCCCGTCGGGGCAACCGGGTAAACATGGCACACTTATCTCCAAATCGACATGTTGCAGTAGCGTCCGCCTCGAATTTCTCTGCTAAAGAGGCGTTGAACTCTTGATACGCCTCTGGTCACAAGCCAGACCGGCGATTCGCCGACTCAACCAGATCCGGGTCCATTATCTGTGCCCTGATATAAGATCGATGTGATTAATCTCGGAAAAAATAAATAAATATCCAAACCCGTTCTAACGCTCTCGCTGCCAACGAGCCACTGGAGAAACCTTCCCGGATCAGATGGCCGCTCCTCCGCTTTAGAGAGCGCAGAACAATGGGGAGGCTATAAATGGCACAGAAATTTGCATCCTTTTAGTAAATGAAGAAATAAAAAACACAAGCCCACAGCGTTAAAGAGCTCTGCCAGGAAGCGATGGCTACTTGAGGATTTCACTGACAAATTTATTAAAGACCTTTATGACCAACCATCATCAGAGAGAATAAATAAGACATAAAACATTTTTTACATAACACATACAGGAGCCACAGCGCCTCTGCCAAACGTTTTCAACACAGTGAAATGAACGTGACACGTCTGAAAACACACAAATGCATAGAGGAACTCCTACTGAATAGAAAGAGACAACAACTAGCCTACAACTTGTCTATCCCTGTTGTGAAACATACAAAGTCTCTGTGATCATATAGTCCAAGGAGGTTGTATAAAAATAAAGACTCCACATTGATAAAATGTTATATAATGCATATAGACATTTGGCAACGACCAGACACTTGGACCAAACTGGTGATATCACATTTATACACATCAGTAACAGCAATGATGGATAATTTAATTTTTCTTGGTGCACCATACTTCTACCTTACTGTAACTGACTTGAATTATCATCTTGAAGAAGAAAATAAAATCTTTGCATTGTCGTATAATTAAAAGTCCTGGAATTTTTCTTGGTGCACCATACTTCTTTCTACCTTACTGTAACTGACTTGAATTCTCATCTTGAAGAAGAAAATAAAATCTTTGCATTGTCGTATAATTAAAAGTCCTGGTCTAGGTATAGTAAAAGTTGGTGAAGAGCTCCAATAGTTGCTGAAAGCTCCCCACTCAATGTTGTGTCCTTATAGAACCAACCAGAAGTTCAAAGCCTTGGCGAGACTTTCCAGCTCAAGTCTTGGGTCCATCGCTAACCAATTTTAGAGAAGATACAAAATTCATCTGCTTTGTAATCCCTGTCCACTGGTGGAGATCTGCTCTAGGTCTCTTTCCAAATGTGCATCTTCAAAACTATCAGAATTGGGCATGATCCACTTCATCCAACCAGGATGCTGGGCTCGTAGGGAAGTCCGGGTACCCACCGCTGCTTCCCGTGGACAAATCAGAGCTCGGCCCGTTTCCCCCGGCCATCATGCGAACCCCTGGAGTCATGTTCTGGCCTCCGCTCTGACACACCATGGGCAGGCCTGACTCTGGGTAGACCAGGCTGGAGATGAGGGGCTGGTGTCTGGGAAGGGCCTGTAGTGAGCCTGGAGACTGCGGGAGGCTGTAGGGGCTGCTGGCCTGGATGTCGTGGTATTGCTCCTGTGAGGGGATGATGGCACCATGCTCCAGCGGGAAGGGCGGATGACCTCCACCCTGACGACTCAGAGCCGGAGAGCTTTCGCTCAGACTGCTGTAAATGCCATTGGAGTGACCCAGCTCTGACATAGGCGGCTCATCTGCATGTAGAACATGTCGAAGAAAAAAAAATGAAAGTGATTGGTGGATTGTTCAATACACAAAAATTCAATTGTTATACATATCTGCACTATTTTATGTATTGCCATCAATGGTTCCTTTAAAGTGGAAAAAGGTTCTTTAGATTATTAAAATGTTCTTTACACTAAGAAACAAAAAAAGGTTCTTTTAAGAATTCTTTGGGGATCCTAAATGGTTCCTCTGTGACACTGCTGTGAAAAGCCTCTTCTGGGACCTTTTTCTGAGGAGAGTGTGGCTGTTTGTGATGGATGCCAGAATTACAATAAAAAATGTTACTGAAAAACTGGCATGCAGTATATCAGAGCTCTCACTTTTTCCATTTATTTTCTTAAACAAGCTTTTCAGAAAATTATTTAATAAACAGTTTTATGCTTTAAATCAAAATGGCTTTGATGTGGCAATATTTGATTCAAAGCAAAACATTTTTTGAAAATCATTCATGACCATTTTTGGGGTATATCACACACATTAGTCATATTTATAGGGTTTTGGGAGCAAACATACCCGTGAAAGAGACCTCAGCATCGCTGTCAATGCCCTCCTCCTGAGTGCTGTCTTTATCCGATTTGGAACTCCCGCGTGACCTCTTCATGTTTCTGAAGTACTGTCCCCATCTCTGCCTACCTGCATCTTTTTTCAGTCTTTTCTCTTTTGCTCTTCTGTTTTGAAACCAGACCTGTGCAGAGACGTGGGTAAATTTCACACCATTGCTGATCTTTTTTGAGGCACCACTCTAAAAAGTTGTAGTAAAAAAAGGAAAAAGCTATTTCTACCTGACATGAGCCTTATATATATATATATTAATATAAAAACCAAAACCCATTCCTCAATGTTTACGATTTTTCTTCTGTTATTATTATTTGTTTTTCATATAGCCTAATTAACATCAATACATGTACAAGCTAAGCAACATAATGACATACTGGATAAATGTACGCACGCATTTATCAAAACGGAAGCAGAAAGGAAATAAGCGTTAAAATCTTCAGTGTGAAGCATGCATATAATTTGTACATTTTCTGCATGATTCAGTGACACTCACTGCGTTCGACTTTACAAGAAATCGAGACAGTATTTCATGCAAGTCAGTCGAGCCGCTGTCTTTTAAAAAAAATAGTAGAAAATCTTCTGCATTAAATAATAAAAGGTTATAGGCTAATGACACGAGTGCATGAGGTACTATAAACAATAGCGTAAATAACAGGGTATAATACAACAACTGTATGAAATATATGACACTTGAATACATAAAACAATAAAGGTTATAATGACACGAGTAAGGCATTTTCTTGTGTGAATAATAGCGTAAAACATATAACGGAATAATACATAATGAATATATTACATGAATATTATAATTGAATAGTAGCCTATATTATAGTCAGCTGGGCTACGCGTGTTTTCCTATTTGCGACATGTTTTTTTTCTTTAGTATTATTAATGAATATTTTTCATTTAGTGTCTTAATTTCAACTCCATTGTCAGTTCACCTAAACAAATGTGTTTCGTGTGGTAACATTTATTACATATCACGAAACGACTATAAGCTACATTTTAAGGGTGAGATACATAACCGCGCGTTTTCGCGGTGTAGTTCTGTTGTAATACTCATGCACTGCATTTGAATGGACTGAGAAAGAGCTGTATGTGTAGTATATATGTAGCATGTTACCTGCACCACCCGCATGTCGAGGCCGGTCTCTGAGGACAGCTGCTCCCGTACGTGTCGCGCGGGTTTCGGTGAGTTATTATAAGCGTTCTTCAGCGTCTCCAGCTGTTTGGCGGTGATTGTTGTGCGCGGGCGTTTTGCTGTCGAATCCGCCTCTGTAATATAAGAAACACATTTTGATTTACACAAACGAATTTATTTATTTATTATTCTACAACTATAGGCTATATATTTATGCTAATTGAGACGGCACCGTTAAGGCGTAATACGCTTCTTAAATTATTCTATTCTATTCTATTCTGTTTTCTGAGGTATATAACAAAGGTAAATGCATTTCAAATAATATCTAACTTTATTATTTATTATTGTACATTTGTTTATTAGTATTATTATTTTAATTCGTTTAGACGGACTAATTAAATCCTTATAGAAACAATTGCAATTTATGCATTCTATTTATACATTATATTCTGTTCTAATCGGAGCGCCGGTGAAGGGAAGGCACTGAAGGTCCGAATTAAACATTTAGAATGCAGCTATTCAGTGTAATGTAAGTTTATCTGCTCAATGAATGACGCTCAGGGTCTCTTCCAGACCCCGTTCCTAAATAATTCACAACGACCGTTCCGTCTCTGTAATATAAGAAACATCTTAATTTAACAACACGAATTTATTTCTTATTAGACATTAGAATTTATTCTTATTTCGAGGTTAATGCACGTTTTTATCATCGATTCTATTCTATTCTATTCTATTCTATTCTATTCTTTAGGCCTAAAAAGTTTTTTTTTTAATTTCAGCGATTGGTTCCATGACGAATCTTTACGGAAGTTTTCCATTGCGCAAACGGTTCTTTAGTTGTGGAAGGTTTTTAGATTATTCAAATTTAAAAAATTGTCTCTCTCTCTTCACACTACGAAAAAATGAAAACTTTTTAAGAACTGTTCACTGAAATGTTTTTTTTTTTGGGGGGTGGGAATCAAAAATTGTTCTTCTGCGGCATCGCTGCGAAAACCCCCTTTGAGACTTTATTTTTAAATGTCTATTCTATTCTATTCGACAGAAACACCTTTATTGAACGCTCAGAATGCACATATCCATTGATGTGCAGTGTAACGTGAGTTCATCTACTCAGTGGATGACACTAAGGGCCTTTCCAAACTTCATTTCCAGATAAATCACTAGGCAGTCTGATTTGTGCAGTATTAAAGCGCTGAATCTGGCTGGAAATTGCCCCGAATGCAGACTGTGTCTCTCTGACTCCATAGATCAGCTCCAGTGCGTGTGTTCAGCTCTCACTAGAACGCTTCTGTACGGCGTTGGCACTTATCGATTTGGAGGCTGGCGAGTTCGCAATTACCTGAGCCGGGTCAAATGTTTATGGACGAGCCCACGACCAGCGAGATTAAGCTCAGAGTTGAGAGCGGCCAATCAATGTGAGGTCATCGAATAAAAGAAGTAAAACAATTAAGACTTTGGGAACTGCGCTTGCTCAAACAAAACTAATTTCTCTAATTTTCTCTTTTAAAAACAAACACATGTTCTTAAAAAAAAAAAACATCTGCTGAATAAACGATGATATGCACTCTAAAAAATGCTGGGTTGTTTCAACCCAACTT